GCAGTTATAGCACCTAATGTCTTTTGCATTCTTAGATTTCTTTTTCTCATTCCTGTGGTATTTAGTTAGTTTCTCACTGCTGTGGTACTTATAACTAACGCACTTCGCTATTTTTGTGTACTTTTAATTGTCAATTTTTAGATTTTTCTAACAGCTTAACTTTTAGCATGTTGAAGTAAGGCAATCTTTTGCAATTCTGATTTTTTTTTTAAATTTTTTTATTAAGCTACATAGTAGCAAAATAGTTAGGATTCTGAAATTTTAGATCCTATTTCTGTGAGTTTGTCTACTTCTGCATTTTTTTCATCCATGTTCATCTTTTTTTTAGATAAGTTGCTCTATAAACATTGCTAGGCATAATAGGCCTTTAGGCTGATGAATTTCATTCATTTTATCCATGCATCATGCAACATCTGACATTTTTTAATGTGCACTACCTCAAATGATTTCACTCTCAGAGCAATAATTGCTTTTTGATATTGACTCATTTGTCAGGTTTGTCTAAGTTAGTTTCAGTTTTGTTCTGGAGTTTGAAAATAATGTAACTGCAATGACCCCCCCTCCTTTTTTTTTTTTTTTTTTTTTTTTTTTTTTTTAGTTATTATCAGTGAGGAGTAACTAAACAAGTCATAAAGATTTGTCAGCTAGTCTTAAAATTATGTATTTGAATGTGTCAGCTTTTAACTTCCTTAAGATATTTGTTATTGTTATTGTGTTAAGAATCATTTAACTAATTGTTTCATTGAATTACATCAAGCAGCTTTTGTAGTATGCCTAAGAGAAAGCAAAGTAATTAAAAGTAAATAAAGCAAGATTATTAATATTTGCATAAGAATATAAAGTATTGAGCCTTTAGAGTTTAAAATTGAAAATTTATTTATTATTCTAAAGCAGCGTTATGAAACCACATATGCACCATTTTGTTAAATGGCCTTCTGGTATTTAAACCTTGCTTGGCTTTTCCCAGAATATCTGAATTTCATCACTCCTCGCAGTGACTGGTCGCCTACTACAAGGATCATTTTGAATACTGAAATTTCCAGAACAAAAGTGACTGAACCATCATTTGGCTGTTGCTTTTAATGGTATATCTTGCTCCTAAACAGCATAAATTTCTTCATGGGCCTGAACAGCATTTGTACCTGTTTTAAAATAAAAATGTGATATGTAACACAGTTTTGCAGTCTCACACTTATCTTCATGGTGCAGTGCCTTACTCTGAGTATAAGAATTCCAGCACCTTTTTGCACACTAGCTTCGAGTTTCAATTCTTAAATGACTTGTTGTACTGACTTGATGACTCATGTACCCTGAGACTTAAAGCCCCAATGTTATGTTATAATCAAAAGGCTCAATACTTTTTAGACCATCCAATATATCAGTTCATGTAATAAGACTTAAAGTTCATGTGGGAATATTTATCGTGAAGGAATATTTTTTTTTTTTTTTACACTCAGTTTCATGTTGCGTTATTCCATTCAAGAAATAAAACTGATATCATGCTTTGCTTAGTTAAAGTAGATGACAGGGGAAATTTATAATGGCTTTGAATTTTACAAAAAATATATGTTCTAAAAGAATAAAGATTTTTATGTAAATAAACAGAACTATAAAAGGGTTTTTTCAGACTTGTTAGGCTGAATGTCATGCTTGTTGGAGAAATATTCTATTATATATATTAAAAAAAAAAAAAAAAAAAAAAAAAAAAAAAAACAGGTGTATCTGAGGGTATTTTTTATATTAGCAGTCCTCAAAATTTTATTTTTATGCAGGGCCTATAATAATAGAAGCATTTTATTTTACATTTTTTTTTTGCACAAATATAGAAGTTTTTTTTTTTTTTTTTCCCCTACAGAATAACTATCTGCTTCTTTCTAACCCAAATACAGAAATCTTAATTATTGGACAAAAGAACGTAGTATTATATCAAAAAGGAAAGAATGTGCATTCTGAAACCATAGCAGTTTTGTTTCCAATACAATAGTGACAAAAGTAAATACAAAGAAACCTTAACTTATAGCAGAATTTTTTCCAACTTGATAACATTAATATGCAGAATTGTTCTCAAGATTTTCTCATCTTTTTAAGTGCAGAAACTAGATGTCAGCAAAGTGTGCACGTACACACGCTTTCTTTACTTTTTTTTTTTTTTTTTTTTTTTTTTTTTTTTTTTCAATTAAACTACAGGATGTACAGCTCTTTCATTTCTTTTCCTACAGCTTTCGAATTTAGTTTTAAAATGATTAAAGAAAATACAATTGTTAAATATCTAAGAATTACAACTCAACACTGTAGAAGCCTCAGAAACATGGAGTCCATAACATATGTTTGTGAAACTTCACAAATAATGCTCATGCGTGTAGGATCCATATATATTCTGAGACCTAAAACCCTGAAATTCTTATAAATTCTTATGTACCGCATACACTGTATGTATGAAAACATATGCTGATACTATATATGGAAACCGCATGTATCTTGACTATGGAATTCTTGTATATTAGCTGTAATATCTTTCTTTCTTTTTTGTAATGCACTTAAAGACAGTTTTTTTTTCCTCTTATTTGGTGGTTTAAGCAAAAAAAATCGGGTTTTTTTCTCAAACCTGATGGCATAATTTAAAAAGAATTCAAATCAACCTGCCCATTTAAACAATACCTTCATAAAAGATTGCCTAAATGCTTCTTCAGAATGAAGACTTTCATTCTCAGAGAGCATGAATCCCATATCTATAAATACATAAAAATATAAATTTAAATTACTTATACTCTATACAGTCAGATCTTGGTGTAGCAAACTGAGCTTATAATGTATCCCCGGATGTAACAAATAAACTCTTTTTCATGCCTTTCAATTGCCTATATGCTTGAAGTTATATTGTGTAGCAAACTTACAAAGGTATAAGAATCAGATGTAACAATCTTTAAGAATATCTTTGATTGACACTTCTTATATTTTTCCCCTCATAAGTTTTGTAAAGTTTACTGAAAAAATTATTAGGCCTTAAAATAATTTATGTTCAGTATGTCAAGATTCATCCATGTGAGATTATAGGAAAACACTGTTACATTACTATTATTTTATGCCCACCTCTGTTTTTATTTCTTTTCTAAACAAAGGCTATACGAGACTGGTGTAATACTTAATTCTTAAAGATAATAAGATATCAAATCTTAAAATCTTAAAAATAGATCTCATAATTAAGCATATTAGAACAGCATATTGTGTGCATGACTACTGAACAATAGAACTTGAATGGAGCCTTAAGAGCTTAAAGGGATTCTATTTAAATTCTGTGGTTGAGCTATCAGACAGAGCTCTGTTCAAGGCATGTGTTTATGCATGTGATTTATGTGCAAGTGTTTCTGTATATATATATATATAAATGTATACAGGGCAAAGTCTGTAATCCGGACATCCATAATCTGGAATGATCTGTAATCTGGACCTCAAAGCTACAAACTTTATGCACATGCATAAACGCATAATGCATTTACGCATGTGCATATGCATTTACGCATGCGCATAATGCATTTACGCATGCGCATAATGCATTTACGCATGCGTATAACAGATGGTATAAGCTAGGCTAAAATTATCTAAGGCATTTCAGTTAATGTTGCAGATTGTGCTGTTTCTTAATCTTCTAACTGGATCCGGACTTCTTCTTCTTCTTTTTTTTTTTTTTTTTTTTCAGACTGTTAGAACAATTTTATAAAAATTGAGCTTGAACTTTCGATTATGTCAAAAAGAGTTTTCAGTTCTCTGGAGCTGCCAAAGGATCTACAAACCGAAAGCATGTTTTGATGTCCATTAAACAAAAAGTGGAATTCCTGAAAAAAAAAAATAGATAAATCCTATCCATCTCAAAATTATGCGAAAAGTATGGCATTGGAAAGTCCATTATATATGACACAAGAAAGAAACTTTTTGGAATTTCTTGTGAAAAGTGGAATTCCTGCAAAAAATAGATTAAGGCCTATCCATCTCAAAATTATGTGAAAAGTATGGCATTGGAAAGTCCATTATATATGACACAAGAAAGAAACTTTTTGAATTTTTTGTGGAAGCATCCTAAACAACTTACATTGAAAGAAATGTGTAATAATGTAAACAAATAAATATTAAGCTCTTTTTTTTTTTTTTTTTTTTTTTTTTTTTTTTTTTGTAAATTTTGATACCTTTTAGATCATAATTGTTCTTTATTTCATAAATTACGATTTCATATTTTTAATTTTATAATTTCTGCTTGCCGTCTTACCAGATTTAAATTGATGATCTATAATCCGGAAAAAACCCTAATCCGGAATCGCCGAACTCTCGACGAGTCCAGATTACAGACTTTGTACTGTATATATATATATATATATAATGTAATGTAAATTTTGTATATACTTAATGATTCTTTACAGTGTATATGGAATGATAAAGTTGTGTAGATTCATAAGTTGACATTCACAGACAAACATGACCAAAACAACACATTAATTTATTCTTAGGCATTCTTTATTCATATCATCAATCACACATCATTTTGGATACAGTAAGCACCCCACAATTTTTCATAGCATATTACGTTTTTTAGACAATGGATGACATAGAGAGCAAAGCAATGCAACAGCACATCTTAGCTTAGCGGGAGAAAGGCAGGAAAGTTAGTGTGCATTTTAAGAAAGGGGTATTTATAAAGTTGATTTCTTTGTTTGAATTTTGGATGGTGATTGGATGAGAATTATCCTGTATGTTACTCTTACATAATGGTGCAATAGATTAATTGTCAGATGATGCAGACAGGAAGAGGGCATAGCCAACTAAAAATGAGGATTACAGCTTGATTAAAATTGGTAGTTTTCCATCATATTGTTGTGAAATGCCCAGCTAGGGCTGCCAGATTTGGAGCACAATCACCCATTTGGCAACAAAATTGGCAATATGCCATAGACGGAGCGAGAACATTCTAAAACACATTCTTAGTGGCTTTTCAAAAAATATTTTTGTAGGTAGGTTGAAACTATATATACCGTGCCTGGATGTGGAGTATCTTGAATTCAGTGGTGTAGTAGTAGTGTCTTGAGTTCAGAAATTAGCTCGATGAGAGTGAGTGACCGACTCTGGAACTGTAATTTAGTGCTTTGCTGTTATAACATGAAGTTGCTGATTGTTTCAATGGGTTTATCATAGTTTTTCAGCGACAGTGTCTTTGGAATAGTCCTGTGTAATACTGACAAATAAATTGTGTTTTGATTCTTCATGTAGTGTTATCATCAATTATTCCAAATCCACGAACCTGCATAACGCAACAATATTTTATAGCTCACATAGCCTGCCCTTCAGAAAGAAAAGGGCTTAGCAACAGAAAAGCAATTTTAGAAAAAGAATTAGATAGAGCCTTAACAAATGAAGATAAATTTTGTGCATTATATAAGATTTTTTTTCTTTTTCAATAAGGAAGAAAATTCTTTTCTTCAAGGACATAGCACTTACGTTTCACCATACGGTGACATTTTATTGATGAATGTTCTCATATCTTACATACAAAATGAAGCAGAAAAATCTAATTTGAAAATAATAAAAAAATATTACACAATATAAGCTAAATTTACAATCCAGTTTTTAAATGTTTGTAACTGAAAATGTAAGTTTTTAAAATTCTTAAAATGTTCTCTCCAAATATTATAAAAATTGTTCTAAATTTGGAGTCTATTTTTTTCAAGAAATAATCATAAAAATTCACGGTTGCTAGTCATAAAAATCACTGCTTGAATATCATAATGTAATTTTTACAGTTCTTGTCTTGAAAGTCTTTTGTAAAAATTGCTATAGTCATTATAAAAGAAAAATATTTCTTTTACATGTTCATAAAATTCTATTAAAAATGGTTATTTACTCATTATAAATGAATCCACATTACTTATTGTAAAGTAACATAAAATGAACTTTTGACATTAATAAATGTAGAAAAGGAACATAATACAGTTGCATGATAAAAAAAAAACTTTGATGGAAATTGGGCAGGTCACAAGCAAATCAGTGTTATTACTTTTGATGGCTATGAGATGCTTAAATACAATAGCAAGTGAAAACATCCATTCCTTATGCAAGGTAACTGGGTTTTAGCATTGTGTGTGTATATATATATATATCATCACAAAATTTTTCATTTAAAAACAAAATTATTGTAAGTATTTCTGCATAATATACTGGTGAAAATTAATCAGTATAGACAAAAAGTAAGAGATTCAATACCATCAAATTTTAAAATACCCTGTAAATATGCAAAATAAGAATTAAAGAAATGTGAAATACTAAAACCTCAAAAATTACAAAAACCAGAAAAATACAAAAGAAAAGGAACGCAATCAAATCCGAGAAAAAGTTTTCAAGAGGAGGATTCACATTTCTTTAATTCTTATTTTGAATATTTATAAGGGTATTTTGAAATTTGATAGTATTGACTTTTACTTGACTCTTGAAATCGTAATTTTTGACTCTTTGTGAAATTAGTTCTAAATTTCTTACTTTTTATGCTAAAAGCTAGCCAATTTCTTATGAGAAATTATTAATTATGATTTATGGCCATAAAATTCCTCAGTGTTATAAAATAAAAATAAATATCCAAAGATTCAAATTCAAATGAAGACTGATAACTTTTATACTCTGGTTAGCCTTAAAAATTTAAGGAATAAAATATTATAGTACCTACAGTAATAAAAAATAGGCTTAGAATCTTCATAATCATATTTTTTCAGGGAAAAGGCTTATCAAAACTCTCAAAAACATAATTCAGAATTTTTTAACAGCAATCCAAATTTCTAATTATTACTGCAGTAGTAACCTTCCCTAAATAAAATATTTTAAAAATTTTAAAGTTCTATTCTTACTTTATGAAATTAAATCATTAAAATTCAAACTTCAAATACCAAAAAATTTTAGCCTGATATCTTCATAAAACAGTGTAAATTTTTTTAATTCAATTTAATAATAAAAACATCAGTACTATTCAGTTTAAAAGTGCAAGAATTCAAAATAAATTACTTATTTCATATTAATGAAGATGTTTAGATTTACATTATTAACAAAATAATAAAATTAAGTGTACTCACAAAATTTATAAATTCAAAACCTTTTGAAAAATATTGATTTATTAAGCTTTCATTCCATCAACAATAATTGTTATGTTTTCTCAAAACAGCAAAATCAAAATAACTTTAAACAAAAATTCTTCATGTGAACTTTAATGTGGGTAGACTATTTCTCAGTTCTGTATGAATGAAGTAACTGTAATGTCACATTCTTATATTGAAAGAAAGTAATTATCCAGCTATATTATAAATAAGCATAAATCAAAAAATGGAATTATGAAATGGGTGAATATCTTTTTGAGTAGGCGATTGAAAGCACTTTTGTGTAGATGCGGAGATTTGATGACCTTGATATATATGTTAATGTTTGATCCCTTAAAAAATTTTAAATCAGTGACTATTTAGAGAACAGTTTTTTATTTCCATTTCTAAATATTAAGGATGTGCCTGAAAAAAAAATTGAAACTGAATTAGCTATGAACTGAAATAGTAATTCCACATTTCATTTTACTGGATGTTACAAATTTTGAACTTGCAGATAAACAAGCACATTTATTTGAATTTTGTAGATAAACTGCACTAAAGATTGACGTTCCTGAGACAGGTGAAAATCATCCTTCTGACTCCATGAATATTTTAATTTAAGATAAGAATGAAAATTTCAAAAGAATTCTAAATTTTGCACTTATTAGTCATATGTTGCATTTAAAATTTAGATCAAAATTTTATGATTTTTCCCAAAATTATATTGCTCTTGTTTTGCTAACTCTAATGCTTTTATTAAAAAGGCTTTTCTATCACTAAGCCTTTTTGTCTTTGAAGGAGAGGGAATATATGAGATAAAAGTCAGTAACTCAAAATTATAACTTAAATTAACAGTAGCTCCACAATTTCTAATTCTAATTTGTGAATCTCCCTTTTTCTGTTCTAAATTAATTGTTTATAATAATTTTTTGGGCCTGCATCTTTCCATTTTATGCTTGCTTATATAATCCTCCTGCATTGTGGATGACTCTCATCCAAGCACAGCTCAAAATTTAAACAAAGGAATGAAATCTTTAATACTACTGTTACTATTCCTGTAGCCCTTTTGCAACTTCTTAACAAAGTATTCTTTTTGTTGAATAAATTATTCATGCCACAGGCAACTGTTATACTTGATTAGAGATTAGAGAGTCATCTAATGATATGTATTCTGCAGGAATTAAATATATAAATGCTTTCAAATCTTTCCATTCGGATAGGCTGTTATACAGTACAAAGTCTGTAATCCGGACTCGTCGGGACTTCGGCAATTCTGGATTAGGGTTTTTTCCGGATTATAGATCATCAATTTAAATCTGGTAAGATGGCATGCAGAAATTATACAATTAAAATATTAAACATTAATTGATGAAATAAAGAGCAATTATGATCTAAAGGATATCAAATTTTACAGAAAAAAAAAAAAAGAGCTTAATATTTATTTGTTTACTTTATTATTATAGATCATTCCGGATAATGGACGTCCGGATTACAGACTTTGTACTGTGTTTCCTGTACCTAGTTTACATAACTGATTTTTATTGCAATTTTCTTATTATCTAAATAAAGTGAATCATACAAAAATCCAATTTTTTTAAAAAATATGACTAAAATTAAACTGCCAGAATCATCTCAGTGTGAGGCACATCATTCTAGTGCAAATAGTTAAGAATGGTACAAAGTTTTTATTAGATAATAGTAGTGGTCTATTGCTGAAAGATTTTAAATTGTGATAATTTTATTTAGCCATTTTTTAGTTATCCAATGAGTGGAAAATGTGTAAGAAAACTATAATATATGTCTGATTAAACTGCTTTATGAGACCATTTTTGAGACATCCATTAATAATATAAAGTTTATTCATTAATAATATATGGTTTTGCAATATTTTTAGTATTTTATTACTTAATATGCATTAATATTAAGAATGGAATAAGTGCTAACATTAATTTTCAGTAATCATATCTGCTGTTTGAAAAAAAAAAATTCACTGATATTACTTTTCTTGTTGTAGCATAGTTGAAATAATAGGCAGTACGAATGGAGTTTCTGCAAATTTATTTTACTCTGTAAGCAGGTTTTACATACATGTATTAATTATTTATAATACTAATTTCATTTTTTAAGAATTGGATAGGCATTTGCTAACATTATACTGCAGGAAAATTTGTTATTTTATTGGAATAGAATATATCATGTAGTTGTAAAAGAGACTGTTACAGTTTCACTTTTAATTTGCTGTTAAACTCATTTGCTTTCAGTTTCATGAAACTTTCAAAATTTAACCTCCTAAATGGCATGACTGTATCCAGTCAAAAGATTTTTTATCACTTAATGTATATTAGCTTATAATTTAAAATATTTTGCTTTTTCACTATCTTTAATAATGTAAGTATCATCTTAATGAGTGTAAGTTTATGAAAAGAGAAACTAAAATAAGTAATTCTTCAAATTTAGTTAATAAATGCTGTGTCACTCAGAGGGTTAATGCAGACAAATTAATGCTATTTACATCAATCACCTTTTGACTTGACTATGTTGAGCATTCTTTAAATTTATGGTTTTGAAAAGTTGTGCTAAGTTTCCTTTTTAATTCTTTAAACAGAATTAATTATTTAAGTATTTTGCAGAATTTTATGGGATTTAATAAATTGTCCAAATTACAGAATTATATTCCATATGTTCTCATATTTGAAGTTAAAAACTAAATAAAATAGAAAAGGGCTAGATAAGCTTAAGTTGATCATTACCTGACAATAACTATTGCAAAGTTTTATTTTCAGTGCAGTATTTAAATGCAGTTTAACGTATTTAAGTGCAGTCATGTACTTTCAGTGCAGTTTAACGATATATTTTTGTACAGAGAAGTTGAAGGGATCAGAATAAAATCTATTGAAATTATCTTTCAGCTTTAAAACCTTGCAAGCATAAAATTTCACTTGATTTTCTTAAATTATGCTGTGAGTATGAAATGTAGATATTTTTATTGTTAATGCTTAAAGCATTTAGGCTGTTATTTCTGTCAGTATTTTGGAATGATATTTTTCAATTATTATGTTATATACTAAAATTATTTGTGTTACATGCATAAACTATGTATACCAGTTTTATTATAATATTATTTTGGATTGCATTATTTTCGCATTTATAAAATTACTGATTTTTTTAGATATTTTAAATTTCAGAAATGTCTTATGACCAGAGTTCATGTACATTTATTTTTAAATGCCTGCATTAAAGCAATGTATTTCTTACCCTTATTAGACTTAAAATATTCAATTCAAACTATTTCAACAGTACTGAAATATACATAATATTACATAAGGCTTGAAATATGAAATATGCATCCAAATATAAAGTTTTACTATTATTTCCGTTTGCATTTTCATTTACTTTTTAAAATAAATGTTCTCCATAGTAATTATTTGACATTTGGTACAATAATCGTAATATGAAGTTTGCTGCATATATTTGTTCATTCTCCATTTTTGTTAAATGATTGCTTTTCGCTTTAAAGTTACCATCATGTTTTTTATCTGTTGAAATAGAATGGTATGAAGTTACCACCTTAAAAGGTAGATGTATAAAAGGAAAAATAGGTCCGTTTTTCCTTTCTGTGTAGGATAATACAGGATGATTGCGAACAACTTGAGGCTTGACAATAGGAAGCCTGTCATAACTTGTGTCTATCTGATCAAGTAACATAATTTTTTTGTTACCATGAGGTGCTTGTGCGATTGGAAGTGTGGGATCGGGATTACGAGATAAGACAGAGATATCTATTTCTTTAATTCTTGATGCTCCTGCTTTGCTCAATCCTGACAAATCAATAGGCAGCATACTTGCTTGATTTCTAGATTTCTCATTTCGTAGAAACAGCTCCTGATTGGCATTTATTTGATGGAAGGGATGTTCATATTTTGCATCTCTGTGTCCTATAACTTTCCATTTTTGATCCAAAATGTGATTTGAATGATCTTGAAGAAATCTTCTTGGCAGAGAATTCACTGGAGAAGTAAAATGAATATGAATGAGCATAATTTGCATGACAAAGGCTGAGCTACATCTTTTAATGATATCCTTCATCTTAACCGAGATCTAGAAGAAAAATATAATAAAAATGTGATTAAAAACCTTTGTGTACCATTAAATCAAAACAACTTTGTGTGAAAATGTGATTTTTCGGAATATGAGAATTTCATAAAAGTAAGTTCTGCAAGATCATACAAACATAATTTTATAAGTATGTAAGATGCAGGATTTCATTAGCTGAATAATAATCATGTAAAACAATCGTGTGAGGAATTTGCGAGCTAATAGGCTTTTAAAAAATTAAGAGCTAAATATGAGAAAATTAAGAGCTAAATGTGAATGACAAAAATTACTTAATATACCTATTCGGTACTATATTTTTTTATAAATGCTACATCTTGAAACATTAGAAATTTATGGATTTATTATTATGAATGATGAAAAACATTCGTATATACATTCATTAATAAAAAGCTTATTCATTACATTAATACTAATAAACATACATCAACAATTTCTAAATCATCGCATTTCTCTCGCTATGTGTAGGTAAATATTAGACATGTGTATATATATATATATATATGTCATAATAAAAGCAAAGGAAAAGACGGAACACTGTAGATGCGTGCTTAGATCCATATTGAAGAAGAATTTTGATTGCGTAGTATTTAAAGAACTTGGCAGTAGAGGCAGTTTTAATTCCATTTTTATTTGCAACTGATATTTGTGGCCACAATCACTTGGCACTCTAGTCGTGTCTTTCCACAGAAGATTTACATTTTTGATATTGTTGAGATAGAAAGCAAGCCAGCGAAATTACATCTTAGCACAGTAGAGAGCAACAGCTGAAGTGCGTAGTTATGCAAGATGGAAGCACGCGAAGAGAAAAGTTTAAGTTTACAATTATTACGTCATCAGAGCTGCGCCATGGACCTTATAAGAAATAATATAAGGTCTTTCTTATAAGGTCCATGAGCTGCGCGGGCCATAGAGTCATCTAGAAATGACGCAATGCAGAGATGGTATTACGATTTTAGAAATAGAGAGGAAGGATTAATGTTTATAGTTTAAACTATAATTTTGATTCATTTTTATCTTATATATATATATATATATATATATATGAATACAAAAATGAACAAATGAACATTGCCAACAAGTTTATTTGAAGTTACTTCTAATTCATATAAAGATTACGTAATTGTCAGCAACTGTAGTCATCAGTTCTTTGCACATTATCATGGATATGGAATACACAGTTGAAAAATAATTGAAGGGCATTAGGCTAGTCATTAAAATTCACCCACTTAACACAACCTTTGCATTTGTTATGCTTGGGAATTTAAACAAAGAAATTGAGCAAGTAGCCTTTATAAAATATTTAACATTTTGGGGGTGAAATAAAAATTTTTGACTCATCACAAAACAAATATCAGTAAATGGCATTATATTATGTACATAAAAATTATTAAATAAATATATGGATGCAATAATAAAATCAAATATATACAACAGATCATTACAAAGAGTAGGACTTCTCTTTGCACTTTTTTTCTCTTTAGCTTTTAGAATCGTCAGAGTCGAGATAAAAGTGATTGACTTAATAGCCATCTATTTTCCGTAATTAACAATAAAGTTTAAAACGAAGAGTGTGAGCGATACAAAGTACAACACGGAAAAGCAATTGTCACTTGAAAGGAAACGTCACTTCCGCCAATCTGATCGATAACTGATCTTGTTTGGCTTTCAGCCTGTTTACCAAGTGAAGATGGTAACCCGATTTCGCGGAAGCGCGATTCTCAGAATTGTTTCTCTAAACGTTTTGTTCCGGCAACAAATATCGTATGTGATATGGTTTTTACGCTTAAGTGCTTTGGCGTTAGGCCTTAGAGCTCTTCCAAAGCACAGCTTAATACCTATTTCTTGTTAAAATGCTTAGAATACTATTATGTTCCAAGTTTTAACATTAGTTACATTGTTCAAGCGTTTGGGGCGTTAAATTTTAAAGACTGAAAGAGTACTCAGCACATAAATAAGAAATTGAAATCATAACCACCAGACTGAGTGGAAAGTACACTTAATAGACTAAATAAAAACACAGTACAATAATACAAGCGAGTTGATTCAAGAAGCACTTCCAGTATCTTACCATAGTTAAATAAACGATATCTAGCCTCCTTACTTATATCCTACCATTTTCTTTATTTTATAAAAATTGAATGGTTCTTGCATACTTATTAGAAGTAATATTTTAATTTATAAAGTAAATGAGAAGTTAAATATTCATGTTACATTTCTGAATTTTCGGAGCCCACAAATATTGCTTTACAGTGTCTTCTTTTTGAAAGTTATGAATGTTTTACGGAAGAATGTATGTGATAGCCGCAATGCAAGTTAAACTGTAGAATCGTAATCAAAGTACTTTTAATATTCTCTAATTTCTCTGATTACTTAAGTGTATATTCGTAACTCTTGTTATTGCCTGTCTTCGCCGACTTAAATTTTTAGATAGTGTAGAGTCATTAGGTTATTTTGAAGCAGGAGATGTGAAACATGTGCAGTGCTGTCACCGGGACGCTAACACGAACCTCTCGAATACGCGTCGAGTGTGCTACCGTTACATCACGAAGGCATGCAGAAAGGGGAATAAATTACCTTACGTACTTTCCCTTTTAAGAGCAACTGGACATTAGGGGATCCAATCGCCAAATCCTGGTGGTGAAGAATCATCACCCCACGCCACTGTAGAGTCATTAAATCATTTTTGAAGCAGGAGGTGTAAAAAATGTGCAGTTCCCTCGCCGGGATTCGAACCTAGAATACTCTAGAATACTCTCGAATACTCGTTGAGTGTGCTACCGTTTCACCACGAACGCGTGCAGAAAGGAGGGAGAAAATATCATAAAATATTTTTCTTTACTTTTATCTTTTGCGAAATGTCTTTCAAAATTTCCAAAATAAAACTGTAAATCAAAGAATAATTTGAAAACATATATTTTATATATTGTTTTCTAAATTATATTTTTGGAATCAATCCTCGTTTTAGCAGGTCATTCCGACAAATAAGTCCCCCCCCCCGATCTTGACTGATTTCTATTTCATTTCTCATGTAAAGTACAATGATTAAGTTACTTTTGAGACATTGAATGTGTGAAATAGAATTTTGGAATGGTTGTATGGAACTTTTCGTATTTAATTTATGAAAGCATAGGGAAATATTTCGAAAAAGTGGAAATGAAAATAATATATAGTCAACTCCCGATTATCCGAACTTTGGCTTTTTAGCCCGAATGAGCATAAGCTCAGAAGGGCTATTAATTTCGTTTTGGCATTTTGCGTCGATTCGCTTTTCAAACTGTTGCCACCAAATATTGTCGCCCTGTGTTATATTTAAATAAATTAAATAATGAAGAATGCATAAATGTATGTATGTTTCTCGCATTGTGATAAAACAACGGTACCTAGAGCCATCAAATTTTGAATAACGTAATCCTCCTCCGAATATGAACGTCTGGAAGCCCAAATTTGGAATTTGTTTTATTATATATTTCATATTTTGTAAAGCATTTATGAGTTTCTGATCAAACAACTCAACGATTTCAAAGCGAGCAATACCAACACTGTACGGGGGTGGGGGAATTATCTCTAGCGCACGAGACTGTGAATTCGAAATTTTAAAATTATTTTGCGATATTGCTGTTGAATTGAATTTTATGTTAAGTGCGAAGAACATGATATTTAAAAAATGTTTAATAAATAAATAGATATTTAATAAATCGTGAATTTAATATTTTTTAACAAAAAACGTTAAAAAAGGCCCCTTTGGGCGTAATGTGATTTATATATATATTTGAAAGGAGGTAAATGTGCTTATTACGTCACAAACCATCTGCGGAAAATAGATTAAAAGTGCGTGGGTTAACAGGAATATTATTTGGTGTCACAATATTTGGGACGTGTTTCTATAAACATCGATAGGTAATTTAAGCGTGAAAACATGTTTTAAAATTCCTGATGTAAACATCTTTTAAAACTGTTTTGCTCAGTCATAAAAATAAATCAAATGTGCAGTTATGGATTTTCACAGTGACTTTTATCGAAATACGAGAATAATGTGAACTAAAACAAGCAACATCTGCATCATGAAGTGAGGAAAAAGCAAAGAATAAGAGAGTTCGCGCTCAAAAAAATTTTTTTGAATACTCATTTAATTTACATAATCAAGTAAACTTATTCTCCAGATTAAATTAAATTGCTTGAAAATACAAGTAATTGTCAATCATATTTTTCTTTTAGTTATAATATAGGTTTTTCATCTTTCTTATATATATATATATTTTTTTTTTTTTTTAAGGGTTTAAAGTGAAGAAATAAATATTGCAGTCATCCGTCGCGTAACATAATTTCGTTTAACATCTTTTCCAAATTAGCACGCATTTAATGTAATCTGTTTTTATTTAACGTAGTGTATGCTATATTCTTTAATACGTATTGAAGAAATAGCTGTTAATTTACAGGGTATACTATAGACTTCGCGGTGCAAGACTTCACAAATATGTAAGAATTATTCAGTTTTAGTTTAAAAACCCGTAAAATGTTTGAGGATAGTTATCTCGTTCTTATCACTCGTAGCAAACGTATGAATATGGCAATGACGAATTTACTGAAGGAAAAAACATTCCTTGAATCGTAAAAAATTTCAGAAAATGTTTCCGTCTTCTGAACATAAAACAACCATTTATAGCAATTCCGATTCATGTTTGTAGAGAAGCGTACCAGTTTACCGAATAACTAAAAAGGCACTGAGTCTAATAAGAAAACCCTGTGCAGAATGGATTAAGATCGCTGAATATTGGGAGCTTGACCCAGGTTCGATCCCATGCAAACTGGGTCGTGGCTGTATGGTTGGTTTTTTGTGGTTTTACCTATGTGTAATGCGATTACGAGATAATTTCCTTTACAAAATCCTCCACGAAAGCATCTGCTTGTTTTACCATATTCGAATAGCTTCACCTTAACCTATAACAAGAACAGTATGAAGAAACAAGAAACTAAGACAGAATTTAAAATATTTTAATTCATTTTTCGTCTAATGTTTTGTATTAAATATTGCTTAAAAATAATATTAAAAATGTTATTGCTTTTATCTGACTTTTAATTTCTATATTTAAAGCAAAATATTAATATAAAATGATTTTGATAAATATATGAATGAATTATATTTTATATCGAATTTATGTATTCGATTCACATTAGTTTATTTACTTAAGTTACTAAATGAAATTATGATGAGGATTTACTCTTCTGATACAGTGATGATCACCAGTGTTCTCACTCGAAACTATTTCTTCGCACTTGTTCGTTTTCAGGATAACACTAATGTGTTCACGCCCCTTTGCTAATCATTCATGCTATGAACATTGTCTAAGCGCTAAGTTGTCTGTCTCTGCGCTAAGTTGGTAATGTCTGTGTAAACCAAGCATGTTTATTTGTTTATCATGCAAGTAGGCTTCTTTTCTTATTGTCTGCTGCTTGTGTAAAGTGACTGGAAGTTCTGGGTTATGCGAAAAACTCTCAAATTTCAACCCTTTCCGCTTGCTGAGCCCATGTTCGAAATTACATTATTATTCTCTTGAGATTCGCATTGTCGCGTACAGTGTATTCCCTTGCAACTCATATAATGATCATTGTTGACATAATTTTGTTCTCTTACACCTCGAATGTCGAGCGCAAACCTATTACAGCACAAGTAAATCTACCAACTATTATGTGTGTGTGTGTGATTATGGCAAAGCCTCGAGGGCTATCTGCCTAAGAGGAGGGATGCCTTCGTGGAGAACTTTCTAAGGGAAACTGGCTCGTATACACATTACACATGGGGAAAACCACGAAAACGCCCATGCAGCCATGCCCGTTCGCGGGATTCGAACCTCGGACCGAACTACCAGTGTTCAGCGACTTTACCGCTCGGCCGCTGGTGGGCCAAATCTACCAACTAAGTTGCTATTATAAGTTGATGTAACTTATTGTAACAAATCAACCAGCGTAAAGTTCTACAAAATAAGCTCATTAATTAACGCCCGCAAAGGCTTCTAGAGTCATTCGGTTATTTTAAAGCAGGAGATGTGAATAATGTACAGCGCCCTCGCCGGGAGCTGAACCTGGCCCTCTCGAATACGCGCCATGTTTACCACCATTACACCACGAAGGCATGCTGGCAGGAGGGAGAAAATATCTTATGTACTCCCTCTTTTAAAGGGCGACTGGGAATTAGGGGACCTAATTGCCAAATCATGGCGATGACGAATTATCCTCGACCACCTTTTAGTTCGAGCGCCAGTGTAGAGTCGTTAGGATTTTTTGAAGCAGGAAACGTGAAAAATGAGCAGTGCCCTCGCCGAGACTCGGAACCTGAACCTCTCGAATACGCGCCGAGTTTACTACCGTTATACCACGAAAGCATGCTAGAAGGAGGGAGAAAATACCTTATATACTCCTCCTTTTAAAGGGCAACTAGGGATTAAGGCACCCCAATCGCCGAATCCTGGTGGTGAGGAAGTATTGTCCACCATCTTTTTAGTTCGGCCTCCATTTGTAGAATCATCAGGTTTTTTTGAAGCAGGAGATGTGAAAAATATATAATGCTCGAGCCCGGGCCTTTCGAACACGCGCCGAATCTTTTTATTACATTTAATTGACCTTATTAAATTTCATTTCATCTAAGTTGTCATAATCTACTACAGACATTTGTAGATTTTTATATGAAGATTCAAGCAATGTTTCAACAGTTAAAATTGTATGTAATTTTATTTTGCTCCAATAATTAAGATAATATGTTTATCCACTCCAATAATAAATTTATCCACACAAATTGTATGTATATGTGTATAAATTATGAATTGTAGTTTCACCGTATTTAAGTGTACTTCGATAAATATGGCTTCACTGTTTGGGACTTTCTCAGCATAAAAGTGTAAGAAAATTAAAAGATGACATTAGCAAAATAACATTAAATTTAGACTATCTAATTAAACGCGAATATGTTTTACATCAGAATTGCATTACAAATAATCTGAATCCTGCATTCTAAAGTGAATTGAAGCTAGTTTGGGGTTAATTTGAAATGGTTGGTGCTGAGCGTGCCTCCCCCCCCCCCCCCGGTTTTAAGATTTAAAAGTTGGCAGTTAAGCAGTGGAATTCACCTTTGCGAGAAATATGCAAAATTTAACACCCGTTCTTTCGGCACATGTGAGAAGGAATGCAAAGGTGCTTCAAATTTTAATATTTCAAGGATTGTACGATTAGCTGGATAAAATTTTCGCTTGTAAAAAGTACAATATGCCTTTGAAAATGCATTAGCTGTACTGTTGACAAATGCCGTGCGGTTAGGAGAATGGAAGCAGATTGACACCGATGTGTAAAAACCTAAAAGTAGCCAAAGATGTATATATTCTTATTCCAACGAGATATATCACGATAAAGATGTGTTATGCCGTTGAAAGCACTAACTTTACATTCCTTTATGAAAGGTATGTGAAAACGCAGACTGTGTGTTAAAACTGAAATGAGAGGATATTTTCCTGTCGAGCTGGATTGGGATTAAAATTATTGAATCTTCTCCTCTAACGCTCCTATGGGAAGAAAATTGTTAAGGTTGTTTTGGGAACAAGCTTAATCGACATTAAGCCGCATGGTCTACATAAGAATGGTGTGTTTAAGAGAATTTTTTTAAATCCATTTAAATCTTGTCCAGAATTGGAAATGAATCATTTTGAAAAACATTGCAGAATAGGAAAAACGTGCAAGAAAATTAACTTTCTTTTATTTACTGTTACTTTAGGTTTATGTATTTACTTAAGGGAAACTGGTTCTAATTCATGTTGCGTATTGATAAAACTGCAAAAACTCCTACGCGAACTACCCGTTCGTCGGAATTCGTACCCGGATAGAACTACCCGTATTCTATCGGGTTATATCCGCTTGGCCACTAATGGGCTTGCAAGAAAATAAGATGTAAGAAAAGCAAAATATATATACATATATTGTGATCGAAGAGAGTATCTGATAACAGGTTATTATATAAAATATTTAAATTAAAAGACGAATAAAAACTTCAGATTAAATATAAAATTTCAAGGAAATTGGTCTTTTTTTTTTTTTTTTTTTTTTTTTCCCATTTTTCAGAGTATTCATGTTTCTTTCGAATCTGTAATAATGATAATTGAACTGTGCATACTGTGAGCAAATGCTACAATGTAACATGTACTGCGATAGTAAATAGTATGTGGACAGCTGAAAGAAATGCAACCAATAAAATGATAAACGCGACGTCTAGCAGCCAAAAACCTAACCAAAGGTTAACAGTTTAAAATCTGTGATAATCACAAAACATTATATTGCTGAACTTTGGGAATAGTTCAATTTCATTGAAGACAAATGAGAAAATCTTGAAAAGAATACTCGACTCCGAGTAGTCTCTTCAAGATTTTTTTATTACAATTTTGGTGTATAAATTGCAATAAAGTTCTCACCTCTCTTAGATAATAACAATATGCTCCGAATATACAGCTGTCACATTTGTTCATTGTATATTTGTGAAACATAATAGCCATCAATTTCTGTTTGTCAGACTTCAGGAAACAGCTGGTACCATGCAGAAATACTTAATTAAAATACTCAAATTATGTTACGTTATTAATTTAATTTATAAAGACTTAATTAAAAATGCTTGAAATTTGTTCTTAAATTTATTATTTTTATGTATAAACAGCTTTTCTTTCTTGCATTACGATTTTATCCTAGTTTTTACTTACGTAAATCATTACTAACTTAACGTTAATCATTTACCTGTTTGTATGGCCAGTTGGGAACATTAGCAAGAAAAAAATTATTAATTAATTACTTTTCATATTTTAAATTAAAATATGTTTATATCCATCACTACTCTAGTGCAACTGATAAAGTAATTTCTTTCAGCAAAAAATTTCATGCATTATTTCATATTTATAACTTATTCTAAATAGATATTTTGGGGCGCTTCTGATTTCTTTTAAATTTTCTGATGTAATATGCCCATAGTTTAAATTAATTAAATAAATAACTCAAATTAATTATTGAATGACATTTTGTGTAAATTGGATTTATATGTGCAATACAAGTGAATTCGTTAATGAATTTGAAATAAGTGTTCCTGGGTGAAAACTCACAAATAACTATGTATAATTTTTTTTTGTTGTTGTTGTTGTTTTGTTATAGTTTCACTTCTTTCTTTTATTAAATGATAATAGAATGAAAAATACGAAAATTAATTCCAATTATAACGAAATGTGACGTAAATGGTTGAATCCCCCAAATTATCGGTGATTTCTTTAACATTATTATGCCTCAGAAACTCATTAATCAATAACGTGAAAAAAAAATGTTCACTCAGAAAAAAGAATCACTAGATTTGGGAAATACTGTCATTACCTACCTTCAAAAGCAAAATATGAAAAGTTCCTTTTCTCTCAGGCAGAAACTGGCGCTGCTGTGATTGGGCGCATGGATATTGAGCAAATTTGGGAGAAAGCGTGCGATCACCTCTTTTTATAAGATAACGGCGGAGTTTGACAGCCAATAACTGCGTTCGGCGTGGGCAGATTCTCTGAACGAGGAGGACTTATTCTCTTAAAAAAAAACAGGTGTTTGAAATTAGTTTATTTGTAAAAGTATATCTGTAAAAGTATTTCGAATATTTTCATAATAATGGATTTTATTTTCCACTACGAAATTTGGTATTAGAGTGAGGAAGAAGTAAGTGTTTTGTATATTGAGCCAACGCTTTGATCTAATGTTTAAAAAAGTTCTGAAAAGGTTTTTAAAAAGTTACCTGTCTAGTTGTTGAGATATGAAGTGTTTCATCATAAGGGATACTTTAGTTTTTAAAATGGTCGGGAAACACCAAAATTTACCTTATCGAAACCGGTGTACTGGTTACTTAATTACCAAGTTCCTATTTTTTTTCGTCCATTCTTGTTTTACTTTTTATTAAATAATGTTTACTTCTTATTTCAATGCATCATAACTTTTGCAATATATAATTACTAAATATAAATTTTAAATTGTCTTCCACGTAGCAAAATACATTCATTTAAATGTTGACAAAAGTATTAGGTAATTTTTACGCCTGTTGATATTGATTATTATTTATTTTGTGTTGGTACAGTAGACTCTCGATTAACTCCAATGATACTATGGATGATGCGTGCGATCACCTCTTTAAAAAAGTTTTCGGTTAATGAAAAATCACGTTGTCCGAGGACAATTTAAAAAAAAAAAAAACAGAAAAAAAGAAATAATTAATATTATAATTAACAGAAAAATACTGATAGCAATTTTTCTGCATTTTGTAAACTATTTAATCTGGAGAATAAATTCATTTAACTCGATCAGAATTCGAAGCAAGAAGAACACACTATAAATAGGAGGAGAATACGCTTGATTTAGAAATGAAGAAACTAATTTTGAATACGCATTCAAAAAAGTATTTACAATAGAATCTAAACTATATTATTAAGTTCAAACTCGCCTAAAAAATATCAGGTATTTTTGTCCTCTACCAGCAGCCGAGCGGTAAAGTCGCTGAACTCTGGTAAACTCGGTCTGGGATTCGAAGCCTGGCGAACGGGCTGCTGCATGGGCGTTTTCGTGGTTTTCCTCGCGTATAGCATTTATACAAGTATACAAGCCAGTTTCCCTTAGAAAGTTCTCCACTACGACATCCCTTCACTTAACCACATAGTCCTTGAGTGCTTTGCCATTATCAGATAAACCAAAGCCAGAATTTTTTGCCCTCTGGCAGAGGGTTTTTTTTTTTTTTTTTTTTTTTTTCTTTAGATCGTGATTTTATATTGCAAAGCGTCATACTGTCATTCAACAGTTGTCTTACCCTTACAAGTAATCGAGTGGCAAAATGAAGTAAAAAGCAGCGCCGTGAATAAACTTTTGTCCAGTTAGTCGCTCTTTGATTCTTCTTTTACTATTGCACGGTTCACAATTCGTTCGTCTGCTATTGTACTACATCAATGGCCAGACCACACAAAGTACATTGCATTTGCTGAAGATGCAGCCTTTGTAATCAGTGGAAGCTCTAGAAAAGTACTGGAGGCCAATGTTAATACCACTCTGAAAAAATTCAACGAACTTTGCAAGCACCAAAAACTAACAATATCACAGGAAAAATCTTAAGCCATGATATTTCATAAGCCTTCTAAAAAATAACCAGATTATCGAAATTCCACATTGACAACAACAAAATCAAAATAGTCAAATCCTTAAGATATCTTGGGATTACAATAGATAATAAACCTAACTTCATTGAGCACCTACAGCAAATTAAGAAGAAAGCCTCCAGTATAGCTAATAACCTGAAAAGAATGCAAGGTGTCGGATGGGGCTTAAACCCTCAGAAACAATACTGTTATAGAAACAATACTGTTATATGTTGTACAATACTGTTATAGAAAAGTTAGCACTGTATGGTGCAGCGATATGTGCGTCACCAATGACGGTGAGAAAACAGAAGCAACTTCAATCCATCCAAAGGCCCTTTCTTTTAAATTATAATAGAGCTTACAGAAAAACCTCAAATGCTGCACTGTTTCAGCGCACCAGCAGCATCCCCCTGTCTTAGTTGCAGAGTAGGAACATGCAAAGGCTCCAGTTCTTCAGCTAAGAAAAGACTGCAAAATTAAAAATGAGATAGTAGCTGCCAGCTCCTACACCTCACCGATCCATCAATATGAAAGACACCCAGCTAGCCGAAATAATATCACACTATGCATAAAGCAGAATAAATACCAAGCATTATTTCCGACGATCTACACTGATGGTTCTGGCATAAACAACGGAAAAGGATGTTTATGCCTTTTCCGTTGTTTAAACGGAAAAAAATATATCTCAAAAATATTAAAAAAATATTTTTAAAAAAATTTAAAAATATATCTCAGTGACCATGACACAAAAGACTTCAAGTTCCAACTTGTCAAAGAGAATAGCGTTTTTCAGTCGGAAATGTTCGCGATTTTGCAGGCAATCAACGTAAGCACACATCATCATTTTCCAAGGACTTACATCTATACAGATTGTCTCTCGGCAATGCATGCACTCTCGAACACAAATAATAGATCACCATTAGCTCAGGAAATTCTTATAAAGTCCTCCAGTTGCCAAGGCCAACACTTCTTTATAATCTGGATCAAGGCCCATGTTGGTCATAAAGGAAACGAAGAGGCTGAGATATTAGCCAAGGAGGCAGCACAGGGAATCAATGCAAAGAAAATAAGCATTCCCTGGCCACCTTCTCATCTCAAACTAAAACTACAGATCACAACTAAAGACTTATGGCAACAATGGTGGGACGCTGCAAATGCAGGCAGAAGAGTTTACAACCTCTTCCCCAAAGTTGACTCTCCTCCAATCCCTCTCTCCAGACATATCACGTGGTTTATCACAGGGCACGGTCCCTTTCCCACGTACCTCTATGCAAGAAATCTCTCTTCATCAGACTCCTGTGCATGTGGTGAGAAGGGTCACCCCGAACATTATCTATTTTCCTGCCCGTTTACAGATTCCCTTCATCTAAAAAAGCCAAATTCAGAAGAGGATTTATTCCCATTTCTTTCTAAGATATGCAGTTAAAAACAAGCACTTGAGGAATAAAATTATGAAGGTTATTGACTTTTTGGCTGCTAGAAGTCAAGAGCTATGTAGTGTAATTTAGCCTTCAAAGAAAAGCTCCAGCAATAGCAAAATAAAGCAATTAAATGCCGATATAATGTACGCGGGCATACCTTTATAGGAAAGAAATAAGCACCGTAATCCATATGAAGCACAAATTAAGTCAGTCATAAATAGGGTAAGGGGCTCCTATCTGTTTACTTCAGGTAAATAGTATATGACCCCTACCTTTCTATGTAACATAAGGTCGCATTGTCAGGAGACGTATGTCATTTCAATTGTTTCGTGAACATACTGTATCCTGAATAAGAACAGTTAACTTACTAAAGTTCTGTTCCAGATTGTGTGGAATAGACGACACAAGCAGGAAGGGTATACGTTACCCTTTATTCTCTGTTACTTTACAGGAACTCTCGAAATTCGGGATACAGAGACCAACTCTTGTGGTCTGAACGTAAAAATATAAAACTATTAACTAAAACTCTAACTAAAAGCTAACTTTGAATTAGTATACAAATGCCTAACACTAAGACAGGCCTTTATTTAAAAGGGGACGTATGTAGTACCCCGAGCTGCTGAAACTACAATACGTTTTCAAATATCAAGAGGGCTAAACCTCTGGCCTTAAAGGCAAACAGCAACCGAGTGAAAAACTCGTAAGCCTGCAGTGGCAAGCGGCTCGCCTCCTAAATCTCCTTCTCTCTCTCTCTCTCTTAGCAAAACGCCACAACTTAAATACACTCATGTCCATAAATTAAGGATAATTCGGAGTCACGCGGAAATCGAACTCTAAAATAAATATATCACCTGTAAAATCATTACACAAATCTTCAAGAATCATATGCAAATTTCGGAAAGTAACCAGATGACACCGATGGTACGTCACAATGACGAGAGTGTAAGAGAGTGATATATAAGGAATACAGGCAAAGAAGTAAAATTGTTCGCAGGTGCTTTATAAGCATTTCAGTGCAATAACCGAATAGTTATGATACAAAGGACGCATTTGAATGATTTTTTACGTGGTAGAATTATCGGCCGTCTGAAATGTGGGCGTACCCAACTGGAAGTATCAGACGAACTTAGAATTGCCCAGAGTGTCATCTCCAGGCTTTGGCAACGATTCCAAGATGATGGTACTGTGAGTAGACGTTACAGCATAGGTCGCCCAGAGTTACAACGCCGAATGAGGACCAGTATTTGGCAGTTACTGCCAAAAGAAACAGGCGGAGCACAGCCTCAGACCTGTCTCGTCAGCTCTCTTCAGCCACTGGTACGACAGTTTCAAGGCAGACTGCGTACAGACGCTTAGGGCAGATTGGTCTACATGCTCGTAGACCTGTCAGATGCGTTCCACTTACTGCAACTCACTGTCGTCTGCGGTTAGCCTGGAGTAGAGAGCATGCATTGTGGACACCGCAACAGTGGGCTTGTGTGATGTTTCCGACGAGTCCAGGTTTAGCTTTCAGTTTGATTCTCGCCGGACTTTAATATGGAGAGCTCCAGGTACCCGTTACCACCAAGAAAACATCATTGAACGACACCGTTACGGTGGTGCAGGAGTGCTCGTTTGGGGTGGAATTATTCTGGATTCCAGAACTGACCTGCATGTTCAAATTGGAACTATGACAAGCCAAATCTATCGGGACGTCATTCTGGAACAACATGTACGTTTGTTTCGGGGCGCCATGGGCGCACAATTTGTGTTTATGGATGACAACGCCCGTCCTCACCGTGCAAACATCGTAAGCGAATGCCTTCAATCAGAGGATATCACCCGTATGGACTGGCCAGCATTCTCCCCGGACTTGAATCCAGTAGAGCACGTGTAGGACATACTTGGCCGACAAGTTACAGCCTGTCAAGCTCCTTCTACATGTCTACCGGAACTTCGGAGAGCATTGCTTTTTGAGTGGTGTAATATCCCCCAAGATCAGATCGATAATTTAATACTCAGCATGCCTAGGCGTTGTACGGACTGTATTGCATCGTCTGGGAGACATACAATGTATTAACAATCATACCAACCATGTAATATTGGTTTTTTGTAAATAGTTTTTTTTC